ATTATCCAATCACACATCTGCTTACCTGCATCTTTTGCTCGTTTCTCCTCCTCTTCTTTTCTCTTTTTTCTAAACTGAGCACCTGATGGCTTTGAACTTTTCTTGTCCATCTTCCACTGGTTTTAATTTTGCACTCCAGTATGAACACAAATCCCTCAACTCAAGGATCACCACAACATACCCTAACAGACCTACACCTTAGTTCACAGATTCACTTTGTCTAAGGTTTATTTCTGAGATTTCACACAACCCAGGATTCAAATCGTGAATACATAATGTGCTTGGATTTACATCATTATGGATGAAATGTGCTCTATTTGGAAGCAGCAGGCCCCTCCCCTTTCGACAGGTTGTGTGTGAGACTTTAAATCATCAAACTGTAAATTATAAATTTTAAATAGTTATTGATCCCTTTACCTCTAGTCCTAAAGTGTATATTTATTTTCTTACTCTTCTTATATATATTGTTTGTTTACTTGCACTGCTGTAACTGGAGCCTCGTCGTCTCGTCTCTCTATATACTGGACTGTATGTAGCGGAGATGACAATAAAGTTTACTTTGACTTCAGCAGCGAGCAGGTGCACCGAGGGCTCTCGCGCTCACTTTTCGCATATAGAATTTAGAAAAAACATCGGTGCAAATTATAAGTCTGTATCATGATGTCTGGTGTTTTCGTGTTTGTTGTTTTGTTTTTATTTTCTTTTATTTAGCGAGTTGGTTATTAGATGCTGCTACAGCCAACTAGAACTACAAGTTCTAAATTGGAACAACTAAACACAAATAAAATACACTTCAGCTAAATATTTCTAATTTATTTTCCCAAACCACCCGGAGCCACAGTATAAGGACAAAAGAGCCGCATGCAGGTTGCCGACCCCTGCCCTACACAATAAACAAGGAGGACATGTATAAACATAGCTGCAGTGATAATTTAGATACAGTTTAGCATAGTTATATATACATATAAAGTCATCAACTTTATCAGTTTCATATTCTTCCAAAAGCAGTTTTCGAAACATCTTCTTGAACTGACTAATGCTTGAACATTGTTCCACAGTTTTAGCCCACAAATGGTTACACAAAAGGTTTTAACCTTTGTCCGTGCTTTAAGAGTCTTCAGATTTAATTTTCCCCTCAATTCATAGTCCCCTTCTCTGTCAAAAACATCCTCTGTATATTTCCTGGTAACATATTGTATCTGGCTTTGTACATAATTTTTGCAAATTTTGCATATTTTATAAGATCCATAAATTTCAGAATCTTTCATTTCAAGAACATAATGATAGTGTGGTCTCTAAATCCTGCTTTAGTAATCACCCTGATTGCTTTTTTTCTGAATTTTACATAATGGTTGAAGTGAGGTTTTGTATGTATTTCCCCAGATTTCCAAACAGTATTCCAAATATGGCAATATAAGTGAACAGTAAAGTACCCAGAGTGATTTGGAAGGCAAAAAATGTTTAACTTTACTCAGTACAGAGATGTTTCTTGACAGTTTAGCTTGTATATGCTTTATGTGAGGTTTCCAGCAGATTTTGTTATCTTTTATCACACCCAGAAATTTTGTATGAGAAACTTGCTCTACTTCAACATTATTTATTGACAATTTTGCTCCGGCATCTTTTTTACAATTTCCGAATAATATAAATGTTGTTGTTTTTTTTTTTTTCAAATTTAGTTATAACTTGTTTCTGTCAAACCATGTTTTCAGTTTAATCATTTCTTTTGTGACAATTTCCAAAAGCTGCTGTGAATTCTCTCCAGCACAAAAAATATTTGTATCATCTGCAAATAAAATAAACTGTGATATATCAGATGTTTTACATAGATCATTGATGTACAGGATAAACAGCTTTGGTCCCAATACTGACCCCTGTGGAACTCCACAAACAATGTACAGGCACTCTGATATTCACCAATCTTCACAAATTGTTGCCTGTCTCTCAAATACCTCCTTACCCACTCTAGCACCACTCCTCTAATGCCACAGTACTCCAGTTTATCAAGTAATATTTCATGATTAATTGTGTCAAAAGCTTATTTAGGTCAATGAAAACACCAACTGTGCATTGTCTTTGATCTATATTGTTAGTGCCATTTTCAGTTACTTCCATTAATGCCATGGATGTTGATCTATTTGGTCTGAAACCATACTGACTGTCCATTATTATTTTATGTTTATCTATAAATTTGTCAAGTCTATTAATGAAAACTTTTTCCAGTATTTTTGAAAATTGTGAAAGTAGAGAAATAGGCCTGTAATTTGTGAATTGGTGTCTATATCCATTTTGAAACTTTAGCTGGTTTCATTTGTGTTGGGAATGCACCAGTTTGTAGAGACAAATTGCAAATGTATGTTAAGGGTTTGGAGATGCCATCAACTTTCTTAACGATTCCATATCAATGTCATCAAAGTCTGTAGATTTTTTTGTTCGTGATTTCCCAACAATATCAATGATTTCATTTTCTTCTACCACCATTAAAAACATTGAATAAGGATTACGTTCAATAGGTTTAGTTTCTTTCTCTGCAGAATTTCTTATCTCATGAATTGTATCAGCCAACACTGGTCCAACACTTACAAAGAATTTATTGAACTCATTAACCACGTCACTCATGTTACTAATATTTCTATCATTATTAATGAAATACAAAGGATAATTTAACTGCCTAGAACCATTTTTAATGATGGTATTTAATGTTTCCCAAATCCCTTCAATGTTATTTTTATTCATATTTAATAATTTCTCATAATATTCCTTTTTACATCACCTCAAAATGTAGCTTCATTACTTCTGTTCTTTATAAATTCTCTATATAAGGTATATTTCTTTTTACATGCATTTTGTAATCCTTTTGTGATCCATGGGCACGCTGCATATTTTTGTTTTTTGCTATATTTCTTTACTGGGAAATGGCTATCATATAACAGTTTAAATGTTCCTAAAAAAGTCTCATAAGCTTTACAAATATTTTTTTCCTCACATCATGAGTGACCCACTGAGGGAACAAGACTTGAGACCTAATCAAGCTCTCATCAACCCGGCCCCACCATCAGCAGAGCTTAAGTTGATGGAGCCGATTTTGAAGGAGGTGTGTGAGGTCATCAAGGCAGCCTGCTCAGCATCCTCCTGAGGTCCCAGTTGCATACCCTACCTACTTTGTGTATAAGCGCTACCCAGAGCTGCTCCGACACCTGTGTAAGATCTTAAAGGTTATATGGCAGAGAGAGAGAGTTGCTGTGGAGGTGCGCAGAGGGAGTCTGTATTCTCAAAGAGGTGGAATTGAAAAACATCAACCAGTTTTGGCGCATCTCAATATTGAGCATGGTGGGGAAGGTTCTTTTGTTTTTTGTTTTTTTTTAAAACTGACCTAGTTCCTAGAGCTGTTTTGCAAAGAAGAATGGCTATTTCAGTCTCTAGATGTGCAAAGCTGGTAGAGAAACACCCTAAAAGACTAGCAGCTGTAATTGCAGCAAAAGGTGGTTCTACAAAGTATTGACTCAGGGGGCCGAATAATTACGCACACCCCACTGTTAAGATATTTATTTTTAAAAAATGTTTGGAATCATGTATGATTTTCGTTCCACTTCTCACATGTACACCACTTTGTATTGGTCTTTCACGTGGAATTCCAATAAAATT